ACAATGTCAATAACTACAAATAAATGATCATCCTCTCTTCCAAGAACTGCTGCACAGATGGAAGGAGATTCTTCTGACTGCTTGGGAAAGCAGCCCAATTTGTGTTTCTTCTCAGGATCAGTAATTGTAATACAAGTAAGGTATGGTAACAAACTCATCAAGACAAATTTAAAACTTAAGTGCAGTCCCTCTTTAACAGTCTCAGTATCCCTCTGTTTTCCTGTTTAGAGCCTACTGTGCTAAATTTCCTTAAAATATGGAAACCCTCACTGCCAATTCCTCTCCACATTCTGTTATGCTCTACTGAACAAGTTTGCAACCATCTTAACACTGTCTTTCAAGGACCAGTTTGTCTCCCAGCTCTTTTTTTCCCTCTCTGAATGTTACCAGAGACAGCAGCTTCTCCAGGTGGGTGAGGGTCTGACACAGGAGACCAGCACAAGATGTCTTGGAGGACAGAAGACTTTCAACAGTGGCAGGATCACTGACAGACTCATCCAGCAAACCTAGAGGACCAAAGAAAGGAAGAGCTCAGGTCACTAATGAATAGAAAAGGCTGTGATTTTTAAAGCTAACCAAGACATTCAGCTGATGCAGTATGAACATGCCATCAAATGCAACTGGCAGTAGGATTCACCACAAACACTGCTATTGTCCTTGACTTCTCCTGCTCTTTTTCCTCCAGTTTTGGCTGCACCAGGCACTTAAAATACTGGCAACCAGACTGGCCTGTAACTTTTCTGTCATAACTGTACCTGCACATTCCAGAGGCTGGGAGGCTGCTCTCAAAATACAGTCCATTGGCTGAAGCAGAACAGTCAGTGCCTGAATCCTGACATCTTGTGGGCTTCAAGGAGGAAACAGCAGTTACCAACACAAGTAAACTTCAATTCCTTCCCAAATACTTGCCCCCAAATGCTGAGCAGGATAATGATTTTCATGCAGGCTTTTAAACAAGCCAGCGATGACAGAGCAACAAAAGCAGTATCGCAATCTGAGCATTCTTCCAATGCTAAATGAAAGCAGAGGAGAAACAAGTTTTGAATTTAGAAGTAGCTTTGTCAAGCTAAGCAAATAGAGAGTGGGATCTTGTGTAAGGAGGCTGGGAGAGAGGAATATCTTGTCCAAAAAGTGTCCTTCTATCTAAGAACAAAAGTGTTATTTAGCCTGGAAATCAGTATCTGTATGTACACTATTCATCTGATGATTTCCTGCTGCTTTTTCACTACCTAAAGGGGAATCATGGAGCAGAAACACCTGCACAGTGCAGAAATTTCATTGCTTTAAGTCCTACCATTTGCAGAGCTTCAAAAGTCCCACAGCCAGAGGACCTGCTTGTACTGGGGTTAAGTGTTCCAGAGCAGAAGTTACTAATGCCCAAAAGCTGCCTTCAGTGCCACAAAATGCAGGGGATCTGAGAAGAGAGAAGTGTAAGTGTAACCCATCCCAGGGTGGCAAACAGATCTATCTCAGCACGGGCTCCAAGGTGCCACAAGATCTTTACCGTGCCACGTTCAGCAGAAGATTGGCCAGCAGGGGCTGGGCTTGAACAGTCTCCTCCAGCAGAAAGGATTCTATTTGCTTTGCTATGTCCAACCAAAGGGCTTCAGTCCATGCAGCATAGCAACTGCCAAAACAACTGCCAAACAGACTGCTCAGCAGCTTCAGTGACTGCTCAATGTGAGAGGCAGAGCTGGACTGAAGGGACTCTTTGATGTGCTTTACAATCATCTGGGCACAGCCTGGCCAGTCACAGTCCTTGGTACTGAGAGCTTTGGGTGTTTCAGACTCTAGGGAGAAGGTGAGCATGTGCACCAGGAGCTGGCTGGCAGCTGAAGCCACAAACAGGCTGGGATCTCCTTGCAGAGTGAAGATCACATCCATGCCTCCTGTGGGAAAACAAAACAAGTCACTGGAGCAACAAATAACCAGTTATGACTCCAATTCAGGTACCACACAGCTTTAAATGGTGGTGATGGGGTTTTCTTATACTTTATTTTGTAGTCTCTACTCAAAGTCAGCCAGCAAACAGAAGAAAATGAAATTGTTTCAGATCCTCAGGGGTTTAATAACTCAGGATCAGACTTCAATATAACATCAGTAACATTAGGAGAGTTGACAGAACACTCAATGTGTATTTATGGACAGAGCCTGTACCATCTCTGGACATAACCAGTAGGAAAAACATGAACAGCAGTATCAGCACCACTTTTCCATCACAGGGACAGCAGCATGTGCTGCACTTCAATACCAATCCAGTCTTTTAGACCCCTCTGTACATGGGATCTAAAGATGGTGTTAACAGCATCATTTACATACCTCCATAACAATAGGACTGCAAATGTGTGCAAGCACAAAGAGATAAATGAGCCTCTGCTTAGTTTTTCTGCACTAAAATAATGCTGAAATGTACCCTTTAGTAGGAGTTACAAATAAGAATACAGATAGCTCTTAATTTTATAAGAGCAATTTTATAAGATTCTTTCCCCCTGAAAAAAGCACCACCTTCAGTGTTTGGAGGAAAAAACCAGATGCATAACTAACTTAACAAAAGTTAAATTACTGCTTAGCTAACTTAACCAACATCTTTCTATCACTTTGTTTTTTGACAAATGGCTTACTTTAACCTTAAATAAATCAAGATACCATCTTGCTCATTTGCCACCTGAGCAAGAGGCTGGGATGGCAGTGGCCCAGCAGGGAGGGGGGTGGCAGCCCCAGCAGCACTCACCCGTGGAGCAGAGGCAGTGCAGGGCAGGCAGGTGGTGCAGCATGCTGTGCACACCCTTCAGCCAGAGCACCACCTTCAGTGTTTGGAGGAAAAAACCAAATGCATAGCTAACTTAACAAAAGTTAACTTACTGCTTAGCTAGCTTAACCAACATCTTTCAACGACTCAGTTTTTTGGACAAATAGCTCACTTTAACCTTAAATAAGCCAAGACACCCATCCTGCACAGCAAGGGGCACATCATGGAGGGGGGTGGCAGCCCCAGCAGCACTCACCCGTGGAGCAGAGGCAGTGCAGGGCAGGCAGGTGGTGCAGCATGCTGTGCACACCCTTCAGCCAGGCGCTGCGCACCGACGCCTCCTCCCACGCCGCGCCGCCCCGCGGCCCCTCCGCGCCAAAGAGCCTCCCCAGCAGCTTCTCCTGCTGAGGCAAGGCAGAAAACGAGAGTAAACAGGGAGAAAAGGGGCTGCTCTGCGCGAGTCAAGAGTATCAGTGCTGTGGTGAAACCTCCTCTTGCTACAAGTATCATAAAATGGGCAGTGTTCAGAATCTCACGCTTAAAGGCAACATGTGGATAAACCAGGGTGTTCAAAACCAAAACTGCTTTGTTTGCAGGTACTAATGGACAGCTTATGTGTGTCAGTTCCATCAGAATGCTTTATACACTTGTACACATCTCTTCCCTGAATGTTTTTTGGGTTTTGTACTAAAATGTATCCTGGTGCAGAAAGCACTGCTTTAAAAAGCTCCCTTGTTTTTGCAGGGAATCAAAAATTTCCTGTCAACCTGCTACAGAGTGAAAACAAATCTGTTAGTGCAGTTTAGATCTGCAGGATCTGTCCTGGGATGCAGTACTGTGCAGTGGCTGCTGAGAGGTCGTGTTCACAGAATGACTAGGTTGGCAGAGATCTTCACAGAGTCCAACCCAGAGCTGGGTTACCCCATACACTCTTTTCAACTAAAAATGGAAGCACTACCCATCAGCATTCACAGTCCTGCTGTGGTGAGACAGAAGTGAGAAGCAGCTGTACACGAGGATCGAACAGGAACGGTGATGGTAGGTCTTTGCTGTCCAATCACTTCTGCTGAGTTGTTCCATGTAAGCCATACTTTTACTAAGCAGAACACGCACGTTTTTAGGGACTGTGCATACAGAAGGAGCAGACAGACACACAGCAGCAGGTACCTGGGTCAGTGGTACCCAGCTCACCTGCAGGTGCTGGAAGCGGCTTTCGGACGAGGCGAGGATCCCGGCCAGCTGCAGGGTGAAGGACAGGATGCCAGGGCTGGGATCTGCCAGGGCCAGCACGGAGCTGAGGAGCTCTGTCAGACACGGGTTGTCCTGCACCAGCTCCACAGTGGGGTCTGCCCAGGACAGCAGAAAACATCAGCTCACTGCCAGGACTGAGCTCTGCAGAGCTTCCAAAGCCACACTGCCAGGACTGTCCTGTCTCACTAAAGCGGTTCCCTGAGCTGAGTGGTTCAAAAGCAAAACTGCTTTGTTTGCAGGTGCTAAGGGACAACTTACGTGTACCAGTTCCATCAGACTGCTTTATACACCTGTACACATCTCTTCCCTGAATGAGGCCTTTTGGGTTTTGTATTAAAATACAAAATTTGTGTTAAGCCCTGCCAGCTGCTAGAACTGATGAGTTGGGGTGCACCCACAGCATTTTTGGGTGACACAGCACCTCAGACAGCTGTGCAGGCATTCCAATCCCACCTGGACCCCTGTTCCCGTGTCCCTGCCTTGGCATGGTCGCACTGGATGATCTCCAGACATCCCTTCCAACCCGAACTACTCTGCGATCCCGGATGGATCTCGGCTCCCCTCGGACCGGCCCCTGCCAGCCCCCGGCGCTCACCGAACCACGTCAGGCTGCGGAACCAGTCCAGCAGTTTCTCCAGGCAGGTGTCGTCGAGGCCGGGCTGCCGCGGGTCGGCCAGGGCGGCGCAGACTCCGGGCAGCAGCACGGCGCACTCGCGGGTCATGGCAAAACGGCGGCGGGCCCGGGCCACGAAGCGGGACTGGGGGTCGCACATGGCCGGGGCCACCGGGACCGGACTGAACCGAACCGAGCCGGGCCAGCCCAGCCGCACCGCGAGTGTCGCAAAGGGGGCGTGGCCAGCGGAGCGGGGGCGTGGCCAGTGGCCGGTCAGGGGGCGTGACCCGGGCGCGCTCCAGGGACAGGCGGTGGCTGCGGGACGGTAGCGGCGGTGCGCGGGATGGAGTTGCGCCCTGCCTCGAGTTATCCCGGCGCTCTCGGGCAAAAACTCCTGGCCCGCAAGTGGAGCGGAGCCCCCGCAGAGGCCGCTCCGCCGCCCGCCGGGGTTTCGCTCCCTGCGGGGCCGCTTGGTGTCACCCGCGCTCCGCGGCCGGGCCGAACCCTTCCCCGGCCCTGCCTGCAGGCGCACCCCCACTCTGCGCATGCGTCTCCGCCCCGGGCCGCTGAGGGTTGCCATGGTTACCGCGACCCGGAAGTGCCGCCGGGGGGCGATGGCTGCCCCCAGCCCCGAGCCGGCAGCCACGGCCCGAAGGGGGCCCCGCGGCCCCGCCGCCCCGTGAGGCCTTCCCACTGCTCTCCCACCATGGCCCGGGGGGCCGGCGAGGCGGCCGCGGAGGGGGAGCTGGTAAGGAGTGAGCGGCGGGGAGGAGGAGAAGGCCCCGGTTCTGTCTAGGCCTGCTTCGGCCCGGGCTCGGCTCAGGAAACGCTCCCGCGAGGCCGGGACAAAATCCTGGAGCACCCCCGGGCTCAGCGGGCCGGCGAGATGGTGGCTCGGAGGGGGAGTGGGATGGATTCTGCCTTCTCCAGCCCGCGGGACTCTGGGCTCTGCCCGTGTCTCCCCGAGTGCCCCGCAGCACGGCACAGAGGTGACAAAGTCTCAAGCTGTGCTAAGGAAGGTTTGGGCTGGACGTTAGGAAGAATTCCTTCACAGAAAGAGTGATTAGATATTGGAATGGGCTGCCCAGGGAGGTGGTGGATTTGCCGTCCCTGGAGGTGTTTAAAGGAAGGTGGACGTGGCACTCAGTGCCGTGGTCTGGTTGGTGAGGTGGTGTTGGGTCATAGGTTGGACTCGATGATCTTGGAGGGCTTTTCCAGCCTAGATAATGCTGTGGTTCTGTGTTGGTGTTTGTCTCCCCCCCCTCAGCAGCCAGCTCGCTCTGGGAGCCCCCAGGTTCTGTTACTGCCTGCTGCAGGTGGCTCTGGCTGGGGCAGTTTTGCAGGAGCAAAGGGGCTCTGAAAGTTACCAAGCCATAGTGCTGGGGCTGTTACTGCGTGTTTGTATCCTGGCCAAGGTTTTGTTGTTACCATTTATCAAAGCTGGGCACTCTCCACATTGTCTGATTCCAAAGCTGCAGTTAGGGAGAGATATTTCAGAACGAGACACCTTAAAATAACAAAATTAATCAGCATGCTGCAAGGAGCATTGCCTCAGGAAATGAAAAACTGTATGGCCTGGTGTGTGAGGACACATCCCTGCCTGCTCTCAGCCAGCATGGCAGGCTCTTTAACCTGCTCTCCTTGCTCCTCTTCTGCCAGACAGGGTTTCCAAAAATACATCATCCCCTCTCCTGCCTCTTACAGGCACAGATCAGCATCTGTCCAAAGCTTGGTGCTGAGTGCCTCAGAGGCAGCAGCAAGTGGAAAAGGTCTTTCTGTGAGGGCAGCATTCAGATAATTTGGAAGCTCAGTGGAAATTTTCCTTCAGCTGTGGATATGCTTGCATTTGAGAGGGAGGGAAACTTGTCATCTTTCTTGCATTTGAGGTCTCTTCCCTTGGCCTGAGCACTTCTCCCCTTCAGTACAGGAGCTGAACAATCCCATAGCATAGCAGGGGTAGCACAGGTGAGGAGGAAGGGAAGCTGGGTGAGTTGCAGCTTAAATGGTGAAGAAATTCCTGCAGAGCCATGAAGATTCAGCTGGTGCAATGCTGTGCACTGCAGTGTCAGGTCTCTGTGACTCAAGTGCCCTCAAAGTGTCCCTCATGGCACAGGGGATGATGAACCTGGATGATCTTTAAGGTCCCTTCCAACCCAAAGCATTCTGTGATGGTTCATTGCTGAAGTGACTTACACAATATCCCAAAACTATTTGTATAGAGCAAATGATGCTGGCTTTTGCAGCAAGAGCCCCACCATCTTTCAGTGGCTTTAGTGTTTTTAAAAAATGGCTTATTTTTGTCTTAAACAATTGACATTTTAGCAATGCAATGGAAGGCTTTGGTCACAGTGTTTACTGTTTGAATTTGTTGCTTTCCAGCTTTGTAGAACTGTACAAGTTTTTTGGATGTGTGTTGCAAGCAGTTGTTCAGTAGGAAATGTCCTGTCTGTGTTTGCAGGGGGATGACAGCCTGTCTGTGGTAACCTGCCAGTCAGAAACAGCCCTGGTGAGTTTGGATTAATGCCCCAAAACCCCTCTGGAGCTGCTGCTCATCTGTGTGCTGCCTCCTGCTCACCAAGCACCCCTCAGAGAGGAGAGTGAACAGTGGCACTGCAATGGGCTTGTCACAAATCTCTAATTTCAGATGTAATTCTGCCTTCCAGATTCTCAGCACTGGGGCTGCAAATGATACTTGGCTTTATTTTGCTGTTCTATCAAGTTGTGGGCTTAAGTAATCCTTTTAGAGAGTTTTAATAGAATTGAATAACTCCTTTAGCTAAAGGGTTCTACAGATCAGCCTCTACTCTGGGATCATCTTGAATTTTCTGCTACTCCTATTTAATATTGATGGGAAAGGTCTCATGTTCTGAGCAAGAATTGACAGTTTATCTGTATCATCAGACTTCACTTGGCACCACCTTAATTCTGATCACCATTGCTGTGCCCAAATCTGCATATGCTTAATGCTAATATTTTTCTTCTCTATAGAAAAGGTTTTGTCTTATTAGAAAAAAAGATCTTCATAGAAAATGGGAGATTGAAGGCAATTTTGAGATTACATGATGATGTCTTAAGAGCTGAGTATTTTCAATACAGAAAAAAAATTCCATTTCTCTTTCAGAAGTTAAAGAAGAAGATTTTTCACAAGCCTCCAAAGTCACCAAGTAAGTGTTCCAAAGCTTTTTAGTCTGTGATTGCAAAACTGGGTATGTTTGTGGGATACAGGAACTGGGAGCTTTATCTGAGACAAGATCTTGTTATTCTCTTCAGAATTATTCACTGCTTTGTGCAGAGCACACCTGTTTGAGATCTCTTCTGTAACCTGTGAAGTCCAGCTTCTATAGACTGAAATATTGACATTTATGGGTTGGTTGTATTTCTTGATTCTCCAGCATAATCTAATTTTTTCTCATGTTATGCCTTCTGATGGCAACCATTCTGAATTTGTTTTTCTTCTTGTCTTTTTGGAGAAATGCTGATACTTGTTGTGTAGAGAGACTCTGGAATTACTGGAGCTCTCTACCATCCAGTCATGGATCTCTATGTGTAGGTTTAGTGGTTCTCTGTTTCATCTGTTGTTTCATTTTTTTTCACAGTACAATGTTGTTATTATTATTAGATCTGCAGTTCTAATATTGGGTTTGTCCTTTTTTTCTGGGGTTTATGGTTTTTTGTTGTACTTTTCCATTTACCTTGCTTCATTGGCTTTTAGTGAGTGTTTCAAAGAAGGCTTTATCCTAAAGTGTTGTTAATAGCAACATGTGCAGGTATCTTAAGGATGCCTATCCAAACTGTACACATAAATATTTCCACATGTGTTGAGTCATACTGCTGTCACTCTGCTTTTTCTAAGCCTTTTCATTTTTTGGAATTGTATTTTTTTATTTATGGTGAAGTTTTTTGGGTTTTGTGTTTTGTTTTATTTATATGACTGTCCCATTGCTCTGTATAAGCCAGTCTGGAATATGCTGTTAAATTCTATTTTTACAAGTAATAGGATTGAGTCTGGAAACTTTGAAGAACAAGACAACAAGAATTTTAGTAACTTTGAGCTTTTGAAGGCAGCACTGAGATATTTTCTTCTGCTGCAGAGTCTCCCTACAGCTCAAGCACACAACTGTATCCTAAAAAAGCTGCAGCTTGGAGATCTCTGCAGAGAGCAGGCAGTGCTTGTTTTGAGAATGCAACTGTTGAAAACCCAAGGCAGATGTGGCTGGGATTTCTGAAACAAGGTATTAGTATAGAAATGTTGTTTGCATTTATGGATAAAATTCATTGTTGTGGACAGCTTAACATATAAACTATTAAAAAATAGATTTGTATTTGATTAAAGGTCACACAGGAGTTAATTTCACTGTTATTTATTTGGGTGGTTGGATTTATCTGATCTTGAGCGTTGGCATTTATAGAGGGAATAATTAACAGCATCTGGAGCTTTCCATGTTGCATTTGTTCAGAATAATTCCACAAATTTAATTCACAATTATGCCTGATTTTTGCATTTTTGTTCCATTTCTCTTGGCAGGAATGAGCCATGCTCTGAAATCAGATGCTGACACGGGGCATGTGCGAGCTAACGTTTCCAGTAGCACTCCAGAATATTTGAAGGAAGCTCTAGGAATGAAAAAGCCAAAACATGCTCGTTCTTCCAGTAATGGTAAGTTCTATAATGGTGTGGTAGATAAAAGTGAATTTTTTTTTTTCCTCTCTAAAAACACACATTGCTTAAGAAAAGCAAGAGCCATTTTAGTATACTAAAATACATGTGTGAAAATATGATCCATGAGATAGTTTTTGAGATTCCTAAATTTGTTAAGGCAGGGATTTCCAATTTTTTTTTGAGCAATGAATCACTATTAGCTTTCAAAACTTTTGCAAATTGCCATGCATTTGCAGCTGAAAACGTTGCAAATATAATATGGTTCAATGGGACAGCTGTAGACAATTTATTGTGACTTCAAAACATAGTTTAGGAACCATTGATAGAAACCATCTGCTTGCCTGAAATTCTGTGTAATTGACTCCTTTTACTTCTTCTCTAGAAAGTGTTTTATCATGTGGTTGTGACATTAAAATCAAATGAGTTTTATGAGAAGAGCAAACTTTCAAAGTTTTATTCTGCTTTTCTTAAAGGAGAACTGTAAACTTTAAAATTCCACTTCCATTTAAAATGACACCTATACATTTACTGGTGATACACAGTTTCTGGCAACTTTACAGGATGATATATTTGTGCATGTTAAACATAAATAGAAAAATGCATTCTAGACATCTTTTAGAAACCTTTTGTAAATAATGGATTTATTGGGATGAGAAGACTGCAGTCTGTGAAGTTTGTACCTTTCTTGAGATGGGTATTTTAATATAGCAGCAGAGAAGTAATTAGGAAAAAGTTGGCTGCAAAATCTGGCAGAAGTTTCCTACAGTAACACTTCCATTTCACCTCCATTTCTAAAATTAATTTCCTTGTTGATTTTTCTTCTTCGAGGAAAGGAGAAAAACCTAGTTTCCACTTTGGTGCTGTTCTAGATATTTCTCTTTATCTGCAAGGTTTCTGGTTAGTTAAAAATATTAAAAATACCTCTTTTGGATCTACTTATTTTACATACCCCTTTCTGTAGGCTACATTCCTGGAACTCCTGACTACAAAGAGAAGGAAGATATGTATGATGAAATTATAGAACTGAAAAAGGTACAGTTTCTCTGATACTACAGAAAAAGTCATGGCATTGCTCCATCCTGTACCTGTCCTGGCCTTAATGCTCCAGAATACTTTGGTTTCTACAACTTGGGATATCCACCACATTTTTTGCATTTGTAATGTAGGGCTAAACTATAACTTGTGTCTGTCTAAGACAAATTCACTGTGGTGATAGGGTTAGAGTTTTCTCTAGAGGTTGGTGCACTGTATGAAGGGTGAGGACTGGGCTTGTTGAACTCTGGGGTTACCTGTAGACAAATTCTTGGCTGTGGTTGATTGTTGGTGTAAGGCTGCCTTTCTGTAAGACCTTCTCCTTTTATCTTCCCTCTGTCTCCTCCCTAAGCTGTCCTGTCCTGGTGTCTGCCCTGGTCCAGTGTGATGGTTTTGTGTTTTGGCTGTTTTGTCCTCTTCTTCCATATCACCTTTACCATCGTAATTGGATTGGTTTTGACATCAAAATGTGTTTCCATGTGAAAACTCTGCATTTTCCTATTTCTGAAATGATTCCTCTCCCCCCTTTTAGACAATACAAGCTCAGAAGAATGAGGGAGACAGAATGAAGACCAAGCTCCGTCGCCTGGAAGAGGAGAACAATAGAAAGGACAAACAGATTGAGCAACTGCTGGATCCTTCCAGGGTGGGGATTTCTTGTGGGGATGGAAGTGGGGCAAAAGAGTAGGAGTTTGTGGTGTGCTGACTCCTAGGAGTGATGAGCTGGAGTATGAGAGGTGGTGTAAAGGGATTTCTGGTCTGTGCATCTCAGATTAGCAGTAGTCCAGTTCAGTTCAAAGGAAGATGATGCCATGCACTACAGATTTAGCACAAATACTTTTAATTTCTGAAGGTAAAATAAAAATGCTGTCTAATTAGGAGCCCACTTTCTGAATATTTTGCCTGAGAGTAGAAGGGAGTTAACCTCTTGCAGAGTGATGGGTGCATGCAGTCCTGAGACCTGACCAGGAGGCAGAGGAGCAGCCTTGTCAGGCCCTGACAAGAAGCATTTGTGGTTGTGGTCAGACTGGAATCTTACTGAATTTCTTGTGGCTGTCACTCTGTGCAAAACTATGTCCTGGGAGAAATGTGGTAATAGAAAGCTGTGGGCATAGGGAGTTCAGAATTTCAGCTGTTGGACTGTGGAGTTGAGCAGGTTGGAAAATTCTGTGGGAAGAGCCAGCAGTAGAATAAAGCAGCAGAGTTGGCCACTTGCTTTTTCTGTTGCAGGGCTCTGAGCTGGCACGAGCTTGGTCAGAAAAGAAGACTGATAATGGATGGGTAAGAGTGTCTTCATCACTTCCAGCTTTCATTTGTGCTTTTTCCTCTTGCTAAGGTGAAACACTACTAAAAATTAAATTAGGTCAGAAAGAATAATCAGTTAGGGATTCACATAACCTGTATCTCTGTTAGCAGGTAAGGAGTCAAAGATCTAGAACTAACAAAAATCTAGAATTAACATTATTTTGGGGAGCTTTCTTTGTCATTGTCTTGAGTCTGTTTAGGCAGTATTTGATGTTGGCAAGGTAGTGGGCAATGTTGCTTTATTTTATGGCTGTATATCCAAATTGTTAAACTCATTATGAAATCAAGCATCTGATTTCATCAGTGTTCTCTTTTTCACAGGGTTGCAGATGTGTATGATTTACTAAGTACTGAAATATGTAGAAATAAGTATATCTGCTTGGGTACAATGTATAAAGACAGGGCAGACAGGAATAGACCACCTGTGAAGAGACAGATTATTCAAGGACTCACGAGCTCTTTGTTCTTTCTGTAGGTGGTTACTGGATTAAAGCAGAAGATTGTCAAGCTTGAAGAGCAGTGCAAGGAGAAAGACAGCAGTGTTAAGTATGACTTTGAGGGAGCAGGGGGTAGAGGCTTGTATTGGATGAGCTAATAGAGAGAATTGGAAATCCATGTTATTTTTCATTTGCATTCTATTCCTTAAGACATTTTAATAAACTCTCAAGAACATATTGGCAATTATAAGCCAAAAATTATGAACCACCAGCTTGCAGTGTCTTTGCTGATCTGACTGGGTTCTTTTTTTTTGTATTATTCTATTTTCAGTGAATCCCAGGCAGACATGAAGACCAGTAGTTTGGAAGAAGTGAGGTTAGCCATGGAAACCTACTATGAAGAGGTATGTCTGGCAGGTCCTGCAGGGTGCATGCAGGACAGGAAGCTGGGCAGCTGTTGAGTCAAAGTGCAAAAGGAATGTTTAAGATAAGTTTCTTGTACCTTAACAGCACCTGTCATTGGTAGCAGTTTTTTTCATAGTTATTCTCACAGCTCCAGCTGTATGTACTGCAAAAATGTTTTTTTCAATATGTTAAGTGTGTTAATGAAAAAGGGCAAGTCAAGAACCCACTGTACATCCATAAGTGTGATGTTGAGATGGAAGCAAATTTAACAGTAGCCTGATCTTCAGTGATGGCATCATTAGCTTTGCCACTACCCAGAGAGTCTTGTTCTGATTTTCACCTAATGAACAGATGTGTTGCTGTGGAAGCTGACATTGCTAATGCTCCTTAATGGAATCTGTTTTTCACAGGTCCATCGCCTCCAGCTCCTCCTGGCCAAGTCTGAGACCATGAGGAAAAAGTATGTTTAATTCTTCTGATAAAAATGTTTGTGTGTTTGACACATCACTGGAGTCCTACTTTAACTGATGGAAAACTACTACATGGGAACGGGTTTTTTAGATTGCTGGATTTGCTTTTTTGGTACTGCTTTAGTTGGCTTCACAGCCTTGAAATATGTCTTAGTCACATTTTTTGCTTGTAGATAGATCATTTTGTGGATCTGGAAAAACACCAGAGCTATTTAAAAAGTACAGGATAGCACTGAAAATTTATCTCTGTTACATCTTCCCTCATAATCACACCTATTCTGGCATTGCTGGTAATTGAAACAAACTCCCTGGATGTTTGGCATTTCACACTTGAGTCAGTTCTGCATCTTGCTCTAGAGTGTGTGCTGCAAAGAAAATGTTCTTGGAGTAAACAATATTTTCCTTTGGTGCAGAGACACAGATGAGTAAATTGTGTCAGAGAAGCTTGTACTAGTGCTTGTCACTGGTGTGCAAGTGTGGGCATGAGGGTGAACAGTTTATAGAGGCAATTAAAGTCCAAGCACAAAGGCAGAAGACAAAACTCCACTAAGAGAGCAAATTAAAAGCATCACTGCAAGTGAGTGTCATTTGAGCTGAAAAAAGGGTAAGAGTGTCTTGTAGGACAGTAAAATTTGTTACTACACCACTTCAAAATATACTTGACCTCTTAGTGTGAGGTACAGACAACTGTCTTAACATTGATGTAATTATTTAGATTGATAGAAACATGTGAGAACTCCTTAGGGTCATTATTTATACTGCTTGTGTTCCCTAACTCACTGTCACTTGTGGATTGAAAACTGCAATTTGTTTTGTCACTTTTTTAAAAATAAAAATCTTTTGGCTCAGGCCTGCAGTGACCACTCTCTCAAGGCTCTAAGCCATCACACCTCATTTATTTACAGGTGAAAATTAGTCACAGGTCTCTTCCTTGTCCTCAGTTATTCATAGCTTCAAAAAGTGGTGGTCAGGGCAGTCTCTCTCCATTACAGGACTGCCAGTCTCTGCTGGAGAGGCTGAGCACTGAAATAATAAATCATGCTGAAGGTCAGGACTCTGGCATATTGAAAGAGCTGTCTGAGAGTATTTCTTTCATGATGCTTGTCTCCATTAGTTCTGGCTGATGTGAATGGCATTTGGCTTTTTTCAGTGTTAATGCTGAAGTCTGAGTATTTGTATGTGAAGCTGTAGTATCCAGTTGTAGCTAGAAACTGACTTTCTAAGCTCTCAAAATGGACTGAAATCTATTTTTTTATTTAGGTTTAGATGAGCCTAAAATAATGTCACTGAGTGGTCTGGTTGTGGTTTCTATCATTCCTGTCACTAGCCCATTTTGATGGTGTGTTGTGTTTTGGTTTTTACTCTTAGTTTTCCCTCCTGCCTGGGACAGCTGTGGGGATAGTCATCCATGACATCTGGACAGTCTTATTTTGTTTGTTTTTTTCTTCATTTCCTTTGAATTTCTAAAAAGGACATCAGCTGAAAATTCAGCCTTTTCACTCTGATATGCTGACTGTGGGCTGTCTCCCCTTTTACCTTGTGATTATTCCAGTGGATGGGATGTAAGATTCTTTCACAAACTGTTCTGTAATTGTCACTGGCAGTGGCATTTGTGCAAAAACAACTCCATCAGTTACTTCAGGCCTTTATTTCCAGAAGTAAGATTTTGGGAATTTTTTCATAGCAATAAAGCAAATCTATTTCATCTCACTAAAAGTCTGTTTTGTGAACAAATGTTACAACTTTGCACAACTAGAAGCTCAGATTTCTTCTCCCCTTTATTAGAAAAAAATTTAAAATCCCTGTAGTATATTTAAAGTTGTTTTAACACACTTTCCCATTTCTGATGCTTTTCATTTCCATATTAGCTGTATTCTTCAAATCCATTTCAGATCTCTCTGGGGTCTATAGACACAAGGATAATTTCTTTTACAGTAGAGCACCATTTCCAGTTATCTGAAAATACACTTGGCTGTTGGATTTGTTTGAGGTTATTCCATCTCTGTCTATCCCTCCCTCTCTCCCCCAGTTTCAATGTTTGTTAGTGAACAAAAGCCATTCAGAGCCTGCAGGTTGCTTCTCTGTGCTGGACAGTTTTTTGGAGGAGTCTCACAGTTTACTGAAGCATTTTTTAAATCAGAGGTTCACAGAGTGCTGGTAAAACGTTATAAGGTTGGTTAACAAAACAAACAGAAAATAAGATAAATAACATACAAGTGCCTTTGTTTGTGCATAATGGAAAGAGTGGGGGAGGAAGTAAAAGGAATAAATGAATTTTCAATGTTTCAAATTTTTTGACGCAAATTAAAACAATTGTGGAAGTGTTGAGCAAGATGATCTTTGCATGCTTTTTCAGAGAAGAAGAGGTAACTCCCCAAGTAAAAAAAAAAAATTAAGAAATGTTATTATGGGGGAACTGAGGCTGTCAACTCAGCCATCTGACTGGAATAGTGGAGCTGCTCCACTCCTTTTAATGCTGCCTCTTTGTTCTCTGCTTTTAAGTTAACTTTCTGGTTTTGATCCCTTTTCCAAGTGCAGAGGGCAGAGACACCCAGAAAAGGCTGAAGGCCCTGAATGCTGCAGTGCTGAGGCTCTCCAGGAACATCAGGGAAATGCAGGCTGAGAACCGCAGGCTGAAGGAGGACCTGGACCACGTGCTGAGCACTTCCCCTCCTCACAGTAAAACAAAAAGTGTGTGCTGGAACATCACTGAGGCTGGGCCAAGGGGTTTGGGTACAGCAGGACCCTACCAAGGGAGAAATAAGGGATTTGTTACAAAAGTGAAGATTCAGGAGTGGCAAAGTTGGAATGAGAACCTTCTTTCAGGATTCTCTGATTTCTCCAGTCAGATCTGTGTTTCTTCCCTTATTGTCCCTGAGAATTCTAAACTGGAATTGATAGAGGAAACTTTTCAATAGCTGAAAACTGGTGAACATGAGTGGCTTATATTGATTTCTGAGCTAATTGGTTTAGAAGTCAGATATTTTCTGCCCATTCTCATTTTTTCATTGATAGATGTTTAAAGTTGGCTTTCAGACATCTTTAAATGGTATTTTGATAGGGCCAGAAGTTTCAAAAAGCAAGAACAATGTTGCCCCATGGATGTAGTTACATGTCTAAAGCTTTGTTATTGTATTTAGATTACAGTGAGTGGAGCAGACAGAGGCTGGTGAGGAAGATTTTGGATCTAGAAAAAGTAAGTGGCTTTTTTACCTGTCTGGGAGCAGAAAATGCAGAAGCACTGCCTTGTCCTTCAGTGGTGTCTCAGCCTTGTGCATTCTGCCTCATACACTGCTGCCTGTAGCATGAGCCCTCCCTCCCTGTTTTCTTCTCTCACACTTGTTAGCTGTAGATGCACATTTTAGAATTAACCTCCATTTGATCTTTTCTCACAGCCTAAATAAAGTAATTTCACACTAAATTTAACTTTTCTTTTTGTGTATGTGTGTTTTCCATGTGAATTTACCCTGCTCAGAAGGTGTGTGCCATGGAGAGCAGCAGGGTGTCCTTAGGTGACAGTGGGGCATCACAAGTGCTTCCTGAGTCATCCTCACATTCTGTGGACCTGGACCATCCAGCATCCCAGCATTTAGGTGAGGAATGCTGTCGTCTCCAGAGGCTGGTGAAGAAGCTGAAGGATGACAGGCAGGCACTTCAGAACCTCCTGCTCAGTAAAGAGTAAGTGTGGCTTGTCTGGGATGTTCTTCTGTAGGTGTGGAGTGTTTCATCATTTCTGTTCCTGTTATGAAATGATGTAATAAGTAATTCACATTTTCAACTGGAATATTCATTTTGAGAATCCCTTCAGTTTTTATTTCAAAAGCTTTGTTCTAGTCCTACTTGCTTCATAATATTACATTGAAGAAGAAAAGCCAGAGGATGGAAAAGGATAATTTCTGATTGTTTCTAGCACATTTTTCAAGGTTTATTTTTCTGCCAGCCATACTGAAAACCCTTTGAAAGGTTATTTGTTTATACAGCACTTCTTGTTTGCATTGTGCTGTAAAACTCTGTATGTGGTTTTTTGTTTGTTTTTTTTTTTTTCAACATATTTTGTCCTGATCTCTCACTTTCTCCATTTAAACCTGCCTTCTGCCCTGGGATGCTCTGTGGCTTTTGTTCTCCCCATAAGAGATTGATGTGCAGTTTGTATTGCCTGGACTGTTTGGTGTGTCAGGGCCTTGGGGCAGCTCCATCTGAGCACTGTGAGCAGGGACATGCCACAGGGAGGTGTCTTGGTGACACTTTGCCTCCTGTGTCACCTCTGAACAAAAATGCACAGTGAGAGCACCTGGGGAGGCCTTTGCTCCTCAGCAATGGGTGTTTGCACTGAGTTTTGTTTAAAAGGAAAAATTAAACATTTAGTTACTTTACAAATTTGAGGAAACCCAATTGATTCAAAAGTTTAAAGAAAAAATAACTACTTGGTGGAAGTATGAATGTCTCAGGTATCACTGAGATTTCCCTGTACCTTTGTAGATTAGATATCAAGCAGTTACTGCAGGCTAAGGCTGAAGTGGAGCTGGAGCTGCAGAAGTGGCAGAGTAAGATGGAGGAAAAGAGTACAGAAGAGCAGACTTTAAGGTAAAGCATTTTGTATTAATAGATCCTTTTGGAACCCAAAAACAAATCTCATAAAGTATAAATCTCTTTTGAAGTGGCTCAAATTCTGTAGGAGTTCATCTGAGCTGAAAGAAGCTGGGGATTCTTTTAAGCAGAAGTGTTTGGAGAGATGGAGTAAGTTACTAGGGGAAGACTTTAGAGTGCTCTTAGAGGAAGTGGAAGATTAAGTAGGATAGTAAAAATAAGATTAAAATTATAATAAAAATTCATAAGATAAATGGAAAAAGCTTTTATGTTTCAGACATTTTTTCTGCATGAAAATGTTGTACTCTCTTTACCTTGGCCTGTGTTTCTAGATCATTGTCTCTGTGTCACTCCAGTTACTCCTTGTATTCTGTACAACTGTGAGTGAGAATCCTCTGCAAGGGAGGCACAAAAAAGTGATTTCAATATTGTTTTGTGAGAAGGGACTTTGACTGACAAATACAAAACTGTAGCAGATCTAAATACATTATTATAGTATCAAGGCTACCACAGTAACCTTGAGACTTCTTAATTTTAACATAAGGCTGTGCTATCACAGATTGAGAATTGATGTTTTGTGTCTTTACTATGAGAACAGGTATCATCCTGAGCAGTTTCCCTCCTTGGCCTTAAAAAACAAACCCAAAGCAACCAAGTGTTATGAGATAGGTTCAGTATTTTCAAAGCAGGGTCAACAGAAAATTTCTATAAGCTATAAATTTCTTTGCTTTTCCAACCATAGTGAGGAAATCCAGAACCTGACACAGAAAGTAGGAAAACTGGAGTTAAAACTGGAGGAGGAAAAAAGGCAGATTGGAGAAGATACAGTGGAAAAGCTTAATAAGGTACAGCCACATTTTTGTTTGTGTTTTTCTTTTTTCTTTGTGTCTGATATAGATTTCAAAAGAGCTGCTACTTGTGTTTTTTCAGAGATGCATTAAATCTTGTCATAGAGATAATGATGGTTAACTCCCAATATTTGTTGGAAATAAGTTATGTCAGTAATTAACACTGCAACTTGGGGAGTTTTTTGAAGCTGTTCTGTTAGTGATCCTCTGCATTGCTGTTGCTTTTTTTCTTTCTCAGTGTAATATTGCAAAAGTCTTAAACTTTTACATGTTTGGGCTTTTCCTAAAACTTAATAAAAAATTTGTGGTTACTTTCATCTTCTTACAGCATCTGAGGCCATTTCCTAATTTCAGTCTGATTTTGTAGAGGGAGGGAGGTTTTGAAGGAGTTGACAGTTAGATAAAGAATGGAGACACAGGTAAATGTGCTCCCTGGCAGACTGGCAAAAGATAAAAATCCTTTTTCAGTGTTTCTTCTGCTGGCCAGGTGGTCACTTAGGGCACAAGAGCTGTGCAGTCAGAAAATATACTCACTTGTTTTTCTGTTAGGATGGAAGTGAGGTGCTTTTTTGTGGGAAGATATACAGGATGTAGAGCACTCATCATCATGGAAATTGAGGGGGGTTTTAATTCTGCTGCTGGTGGAATGTAATATTTGACTCAAGAATTAAGGAAGATGTCCATAAGTGAACTTCACTTTTAAGTGAAGTTTTCCTAGACTTGATGCATTCTACCTAATAAATATCTTTGTGCATATATTCTGTTAATCCTGGACAGTCTTAAGTGTGGCTCTTGAATCAGTTTGGGGTTTTGTAAAATATGTCTGAGCTTTATATCTATGTAATCTTCTGTCCCTCTTCCCAGTGAGGCAATTGGCCAGCAGAGATGGATGGGCACTGACAGAGATGCTTTCAGAGGCACTGTGGCCATGTTAATCTCATTTTACTAAATATTACTTGGAAATTGTTACTGGGGGTTTTGATTTGCACTTAAAAATAAATAGACCCTGAAATACACATAGTAAAAAGTACTAATAAAAATGTCCAGTGGCTTAAGGGTTCTGGTTTCTGATATACTGTGCCATTCTGTAGATTCTTTTCTGTGTGTTACAGGCTCATGGATGCTAGAGGATGTTTTGAATACCAAATAACTGGAGTCTTTAAAAACAGCCAACAAACAGCTCCTTTTTCCCTCTGCAGACTATATATATTCTTGGCCAGTAACCATCCATTTATTGAAATGTTCCCATTATTTGTAATTATCACTAAGTTCCTACCAATTTCTCATTTTAATAGTAGGTTGTCATTTTTAATATGACATGATCCATTTGCTAAACTTAAGCCTGGAGCTCGGCGGTTTTAGGTTATAAATAAATTCTTTTCACAGAATCAAGAGGTTTGTTCAGAGCCTATAAAATCTCTTGTTCCTATAGTTAAAATTTTACACCAACAAATTAGATTAGTCTTTTAAACTTGCAGTTAACTTTTGTTTGGCATGTGAGGTATGACAAGTAGGGTGGGATAATTTGGGATCAAAAGGATCAAGTGGTGAGAGGTGGAATATGCAACCACACCTTGGGAGAAATTATTGGAACAAGATCTTGTTTTATTCTTGGTTTCTTCCTTTTTCCTCTAATTAATTTCATTAAGATAGAAGAGTAAATTTATGCCAACTTACACAAGCTTGGTGTCATACAATGGCCAGCTCTCAGTAAGCTTAAAGAGATGATTATGGGGCCACAGTTGCCAGGATGAGGCGCAAGAGACCTCCCTGGTTAATTAATACTTGTCTTTCCTGGAGAAGAACTGCAGAATCAGATAACCTGATTTTTGTTCTCAGTCTGTTGCTAACACACAAATCATTTCTGAGTAACAAAGCAGTGAGTTAGCAAAGCACAGAAAAATAGGAGTGTGTGCAAATGGAAACTTCTCCATTCCCATGCCCTGCTGAGGGCTGAGAGGGGCAGGGATGTGTTTCACTCTCAGAGTTGTCTCCATGATGAGTTTGAACACAAACAGGGTTCAGAATTAAGAGTTTCCTCTTGAACTTCCCTCTGCCCTGCAGGCAGGATGAGCTCTGGTGCTGATTTTCCTGAGTCATTTGTAATCTGTTCCCTCACAGCTCTGGCTTTACTGTGCTAACTTAGAGATTCTCCTTTGCAGGCTCCTCCAGTCTGCACAGTGACAGACAAAGAAAGTCACAGGAAAGAACAAGCAGCCAGAATTATCCAGAGATACTGGAAGATGTACAAAACCAAGGTGAGATTCTCCTATCAGGGAACAGCTATCCCCCCTCTGAATCTTACTCTTGTTTTAGCATCTATCCACACATCTTGAAAGATTATGTTGTTTGAGTTTGGCAGGGGTTGGGACAAATGTTTTCTGTGTCTTTTAATTATTGGGAAAATTTGGCAAATTTTTATTAGCTAAAGCTTGTATATATTTGTGGCATTAACATGGGCATTTTTCATTTCAGAAAGAAGAAGTTGCTCTGCATGAGGTGAGTGTGTTTATGACACCCAACCAAACAGTACCACAGATTTGATTTGTATCAAAGGGCAAACAGCCAAGACAATATTTGTTCTTCAGGCTGGCTATAATTCTCCTTCTGATGTCCTGATTTTGTTTCGTGTATTTTGTTAGTGGTCTTAAATTTTTGGTCTCTAATTTTCCATAGTTGGCACCTTCTACAAGGTGAAAGCTTCTGAAAATTCTGAACCAAATCTGATACCTACAGACAATAAAGTTTTCTAAATGTGATAAGTCTAATCCTGATTTAATTTTCATTATGATGAATCTTCAGAAAGCTTTGAAATAGGATTTGAAGCTTTTGCTAAGGAAAAATATCAGAGAATTATGAAGATAATGAAAAGTTTGTCACACAAAGTCATTTCTTGATGAATGTTTTGGAGAAGGGTTTTAATTAAACTGTTTTTTTCAAATAGCACAATGTAGCATCTTACCTTTGTTTCTTCCAGAACACTAAAAACCCCACTTTCATAAATTAGAATTAATTCTGACCATGTGACACAAACATGCTGTTCTAAATGCTTTTTGTTGATTATAACCCAGTAAAATCTCTGAGGGGAGTGGAAGGCTTTGCCTTCAGTGCAATCACCACAAGGTCTGCCAGCCTTGGTTGGGTTTCTGATTGCAGCAGAGCATCTCAGAGCCCTCTGGGTACCCAGAATCTGACATGGGAATGGGAGCACGGTGCTGTGTTGGTGAAACTCAGGCTGGTGCTGGCAGCTCCAGCTTCACTACCTTTGATAGGATCAGTGCTGAGCACCTCCCAGGTGGAATTTAAAGCCCAGAGCTGCCCCTGGGGGTGCAGAGTGTGGGGTTATCTTGCAGAGGAGCTAATGCCACTTCTCTCCATGGCAGGCAGTTGTTCTGCTCCAGGCAGCCTTCAGGGGACATTTATCTCGGCAGAAAGTGCTGCTGGATGCTGGGGTGCCTGATGCAAAGTCTCACACCGAGGTAACTGTGGGGACAGATGGGGATCCCAGCATCACTCTGTGTCTATCTTGCCCTGTAAAGGACTTTACTTCCAGGCTTAATTTGTTCAATCACCTGGTGATTGTTTTAATGGGCTGGTTGGCAGCACCACTGTAATTCTAGAAAGATACTGAGCTCATTCCCTGGCTTCCCTTCTTACTTTCTGTAGTTCACACTTTTTCTTAGAAGTAAAGCTGTAACTTCTCAGCCTTGTGGTCTGTAACACTGTAACTTTTTTTTCCCTGGTTCTCCCTTCAGATAGCACCCTCTTTAACTCTTTAATTTGGAGTTTGTTGAAAACTTGACCTGCTCTCAGGGGCTCACTACTCAATCACTGGAGTCATAGATAAACTTTTTTCACCAAAGTTCAGCAATAAGAATCTGGATTCTTATTGCTGAACTTTGGTGAAAAAGTTTATTGAAAAGTAAAGGAGTCTTGGTGAGGCATGCTCAACCTAAGACTTGGTGTCCTCTATCATGTCCAGTTTGCTCCAGATTATTCAGTTCTGAATATGAAAAAATTTCCTTACCAATTAAACATTTGGTTTCTGTAAATCATTTGCCAGGTTATATAAATATCCTTTGGACCTTTAACAGGCTATAGTTAATTTGTAATTCTCCATCTAGGTTGTCCATCTGATTGTACTTTCCATGCTCTTTGATTCTGGTAAACTGGCCCAATGTAGGAGGACTGAATACTTGCCTTGATACAAGCAGAAAATAAATCCATTATGAAGGTTGTCTTACCTCCTTAATCTTCAAAAGGTTTCCTTCCTGGAAAATAAATGAACTTTCTTTGCAGGTGTCTGCTCTTTCATTAATTGAATGCTGATGCTTCAAAGCTTACATGATGATCAGATTTGCATTTCCTCCTGATTTAGTCTTACAGAACCTTAAAACCTGTAGACCAAAAGATGGGGATGTTTGTTCTACTGCCAGTTTCACAATCAAGAAGATTGTGAAAGGTTCTGTAGAGCTTCTGTGCAATCTGTAAAAGGTCAGTTTTCTTTAATCTGATTGCTTTGCAGAACTCCTGCCTGTCTTCCATGTCAGACTCCTCGAGCTTTTCTTCTGATTGCAAGGAGAGAGATGAGATTGTGACATTCATCCAGTCCATTTTCAGGGCTCACTTAGCACATACAGAATCCCTTCAGGAGAGGTAAGCCAGGAGTAGATACTTCTGCAACCTGCAATAGCAAAATCATTTTAATTACAGGAGAGGAGTATTTTTTAATAGATTTTTAGTGTGGGCTCCTTGGCAGAGAAGGAGAACAAGGCCATTGTTATAAGAAAAGACAAGGGAGAGCTAGTTCCTGAGAAGATTCAAAAGATGTGCAACTAAAAGGAGCTTTGTGGCAGCAGGAATCTTCCCATGCCCTGCTGCATGTTCTCTTCCATAGCAGTGAGTGAAAGTAAAGTGAAATAATTCCTCTGTGGAACAGAAAGGTTATTGTTGTTATCACACAGATTGCTGCTATATTTGCTTAATGTGTGAATCTGAAGCCATGACATGTGCAGGTGAAGGGTTATGTGGAGGAAGAAGAGGGAGAAGCTAGAATGCCATCAAGTCACTTAGCTCAGGCAGGGTGCAGGGGTTTGATTACTGCTTAGGTTTATGGTGTCTCTGTCTTGAAAAATACTTCCTTTCTCTCCAGGGTTTCCTGCTCTGAAAGTTTTTAATGTCAGCTGCCATGGTTACAAGGAGAGGTGCATGGCTGTCACCTCTGTTCAGTGTCTGGGTTCACTCCTTCAGGTGATAGAGCAGCAACACAAGAAACTTTTCAGCACAGCCTGTGCAGAGAGAATGCAAACACTGTTGTGTGCCTCATGCTCTGTGTGTGTCTTTGTGCAGGCCCTCTGTGCCCAGTTCCCCCAGTGAGAAAGCAGATCCTGCAGTTCCCAGCTCAGAGAAGAGACCAGGCTCAGCAGCACTCCAGGGATCTCCAGTCCCCACATCTCCTCTTCCTGGTAATCTCCCTCCCCTGTGTTCAAAAGTCTGGGTGTTTTGAGTGGGTGCCTGCACAGTTTTATAGAGAACATCTGCATGTGCACACACATGTGCAGCCTTGTACTCCCTGTGGGTGGCTTCATTTGGGGCATGTTGCTTCTACTGGCACGTGCAGTTCCCTCCATAAAAAATAGAAGCTCTGACAGTCTCAGCACCAGCTTCTTCACAGAGCTTTGTCTGTTTGTCCCAGCTGTGGCTTGGAATGTCTCTCTGATGTAAGTGGTAATTATTGAGGGAACATGGTGTTCCCCTGTATTGCCTCTCTGCTTCCTTTTCAGCCCTGTAGCTGCAGTGTGGTACTTCCCATCACATTTTGGGCCCTTAGCCATAGACAAGCTGAGAGCATTTCCACCACCCTGACTTAGTTTCTGCAGAAGACAGACAGACATCTGCTAAAAAGAGCCATCCTAGGCAGCCATGTGCATTTGGTCATGGTGTTTTCAGCAGTCTTCAGTTGCTGCAGTGAGGGGAAAAATGAAGTCCTGGATAACCTTGCCAGCAAGTACTACTGTAATACAAACTGAGAAAATCTGTCTCTTTTATGGCTCTTGTGCCTTTTGGTTTTCTTCTTGGATTTCTTCTTGCTGTTTGTGAGAAGAAGATGGAGTTAAAGCCAAAGAAGCTTTTAGGAGGATTTTAGAAGTACTGAGTAAGAAAGACAAAGCAATTCTGCAGATAAGACAGCCTTAGACATGCAGCTTCAAAGGATTTAAATCAAAAAGGGCTGGTTCTGTCCAGATTGGGACATTTGAGGCTTTTATGGACCAGTTGGGGTAAAAAGGAACAACTTTGAGTGTGACCTGAGAAACACTGGCTCAGTTATTTTGTCAATGAAAAGCTCTCAGTCCCTGCAGGCTTGCTCAGAGACAGAGAATGCTGTAAGCAATGAGGCTGTTTCTCTAAGATAGGAGGTGGGGAATAAGCCAGATTTGCAGGGCTTGTGAAAACAGAGGTAACACTTCAGTGGAAGAAAATGCATTTAAGAAACTTCACTGTGTTCCATATTCAGAGGCACATTCTGCTTTGTGAAAGAAGTACTTGCTTCTGAAGATGTTTGAGTTTTGAGTGACTTTAATTATGTCTGGTGATAGTATCCAGGAAAAAAATAGTGCTGCAGCACCTTGATTTGCCTGAGCTCTACTGCAGTGTTCATTATTGGCGTGCTCACTCTAAAGCCAGGGGAAATCAGTTGCAAAATTCTGCTCAAAGAGAAAGAATCCCTTAAATGTTGAGTCCTTCTAGGACCCACAGAGGAGTGTAAGATGAGGCAAGCCCAGTGAGCACAGTCATATGAGTGCCAGAAGGGCACAGTCATTGTCTAGCTATGAAGTCTCCTAAGCTAAGTTTTATTGCAGATTATGATGACAAGTTGATGAGTGAAGAAGGTCTGGGATAGTTTATGCTGGAAGAGAGACAGAGGAAACCATGCTCTGAAACTTTCTTCCTTGCAGTCCTTTCCTGGTGAATATCAAAAAGGAGTGATTTGGAGCAGAGCAGGTTTTATTTGCTGCTGATTTTATCAATGTGGGAGATGTTTCCAAGCTCTAGGATGAGGACAGAATGTATCCAGGTGGTTTGTGGGGAGGCACACTGGGGATGTGCTTCTGTAACTGCACAGCTGCCCAAAAAACTGCCTGGCACTGAGTATGAGGTCCTGTTGCATGGAAGTGTTTAACCATAATCTCCCAAAAAATGAATTAGGAAAAGCCTCCTAAAGGAAGGAGAGCATCCTGGTGTAAATGCAACCCCTCAAGGATCTGTTTGGTTTTTTGCCATGTGGATTTATGTAGCTTAAGTGAAAGTTAACTAAAAATCCACCCCTGCCATTCTGAGCTCATGACTGATAGAAAAATCCACTGGCAAAATTGGGGTTTGATGGTAAATTGGGATTTCAGTGGTCATCCTGCAGCCTGGGAAGGATGTGAGACAAGGAGCTTGTTGAGCAGCTGAGTGATTTAAAAGCAATCAAATTCTTACAGCTTTAAATCATGCAGCTGTTGAACAAGTTCTTTCTTCATTTGTCCCAAGTCCAGACTTGCATTTCATGACCTCTAGGTCTTAAAATGATCTTAAGCTTTCAGTCAATATCTGTCTTGCAATAAATCATTTCAATTCACTACCCCTTTGGCATTATTTGAAGAACAATGGGGAAGATGAAAATGTGTTTTAAAACACCTTCTACATCTGCTAGAATGAATGTATATAATCCTGGTGTGGCATTGCAGACTTATAATTCATTGTTTGCATCAGGTTAGATATCTCTGTATTTTCTAGGAATTGAAAACATTTTTTTTAAAAAGTGTATTATTCAGTGCTGCTTTGCTTGTCTTCAGGACCTGGAGGTTTTATAAAGCCATTCCTGCTGTTTCCCATGAAATGAAAGAGAAATTAACGATTCAGCCTGTGAAACTTGGTGTTGTGTTTTGTTTTATTCTGTCAAGGGAGTGACAGGAAGGAAGAATATGTTCTGTACATGCACAGCAATCTTGATTAAGGGCAGTGTTTCTCTTTGTATATTACTGGCCACTCTGGCTGCAACTGTTAACTTCATTTCAGGCTTTTTTAGAATCATAATGAGTTTACATACCACCCTTTACTCATATCAGTGCTTAACCTTCACAAGCACCAAGATAAAGTTGATATCGAACTGAAAATGAGGACAAGAAAATCTCATATGTCAGGAGCAGGATATAATCAAGCATGATTGGGATAATATTAAGCTATTTCATATATAATATGTTTATTCTTAGAGTTGCTTCTTCTGGTTATCATGCCTGGTTTTGGCAGTTCCCTTTGCTCCTCCGTATCACCAGTGCTACTATCTCACAAATCTCCCTAAAAAACTCTGACATTATTTGTTGTCTGATGCAGACAAGATTTTCACTTAACTAGAAAATCATGTGTTTCCTTACTTTTTAGGCTGAGGTCAATGTAATATACTGGCCTCCCTGCATCCCCCTTGCCATTCACAGGCTCTGTCACTCTTTTCCTATTCTTGGGCCAGTTGTGGTCCCTTTCCTTTATTCCATGTTCCACTTTCTGTGTTTGCCTGCTCTTCCATACCAAGATTTTTTTTTTCCTGTGTCAGGAATCTCTTATTTCACTACAAGCCCTGTGGCAGCTCTGTTGTCCCTGGATAATATTCTCTGTGTGCCCTCCAGTTCAGGTCAAAACCTCAGACTGTGGCTTCTTGCCAGTTTCCTCTTTCTACCACAGGTTGTCTTGATTTGTTTTCTTCTCTGGGAGAGTCTTTTCAGAGAATTTATGTTTGAAACTGAAAAAGAAGTGGAGCTGAGGGAAGAATATTGTGCTAGAAGGTATTAATAGCTGAGGGGAGGATATTGTGCTGGAAGGTATTAATAGCAGTCATCATTTAGTTCCTACATCTCTTGCACAGGGGTTATAAGCTGCTGGTTCTGCTCTTCCTGTGTCAGGGACTTTGTACATATTCATTTTATGCCTCTGATTCTCCAGTGTTTACTGGAATCATCAGGAGCATCTGTTCACAACCTGAACACTTCTTCAAACATTGGAGTGGTTGAGATGCATAGAAACACATCCAGGAAAAGAGCAAAGAAACAAAATTTTTTATAAAGGCGAAATCCAATGGTGTGGTCACTGTTTTTATTGTCATTACAGTAGAACAGCATGTGAACAATATTTTGGGTGTTTTACATGTATTAGGGTTAAAGACAGTGACTGAGAGCTTCTACCTTTTTTTGCATCTATTTCCCTTTGTTCCATCTATATCTGAGTCAAGTTCTCATTGTGATCTCTCTGTGTAGTTTAAACTTGGGTCAATTTCTCCTTTTCTGGCCATTTTATGAATATTTGGTTTTGACCTGCAATGGCTTCAGTATCAAATGGCCTTACTTGGTGTGTGTAACCCCTTGCAAAGGTTTAAAGGCAATAAGAGAGCTCATGCATGGTCAGTGTGTCAGCTCAACCCTTGCTGTGCACTGTGGCTCACTAAAGAGGAACACAAACAGCTCCATGCACAAAGAGATCACACCATCCATAACTGGATGACTCCAGGTAAGCTTGGAAACTTGCTGGCTCAGAGAACAGCATGTTTGCCCCAGGGGTTTGTTTTGGCCAGTGCTGTGTGTTGATGAGCTTGTCTGCTGGAATCCTTTCAGGCAGGTCCTGCTCTGCCCCCTGTGCGGCCCTGGACGAGGCTCACTCCGATGACTCCGATGATGTCGTGGTCCCTCCCTTGCTGCAGGTGAAGAAAAGCCACACCCACCTCTAAGGTTTGCTGACAGGCTCTGGTGGTCTGGAATTACTTGGTTCACCAACAAAACTATTTGTACCAAGATCAGTCATATCAAAGATGGGAAAAGGGGGAATATCAGCCCCTTTTTAATGACAGTTCACATGATTTCAGCCACAAACGAGTAATTCTTTGACATGTTTTCTCTGCAGACTTTATGGCTAAAAGCCACTGACTGACTGTTAACCTTACCCTCCTGGTACACAGAGAGTTTGGATTTATAAACTCAACCAAAACACTTCATTGTTTTTAATGAGGATTATAAATTCAGTTGCCAAATTTAAGTGAAAGCAATAAAGCCTTAAGATATTTAATGCCAAACAAAGTTTTGTTTCAGGTCAATAAAATAGTTTGTTTAATCAGAAAGTGGTAAATGACATAACTCCAGTTTTTAGCCCGTGTATGAAAGGGGTACAACTGCTATTTGTTATCTGTGCTTTACTATTTAAAATTTTTACTGTATCATATTTTAATATCTTTCTTTTTATTTTTATATTGAACATTTACAGTCTGTGCAGACCTTGTAAAGGCTTTTAGAAAGCCATTTCTTTGCCATAGGACTATTCTAGGCCCACTGTATCAGCTGGGCTTTCTTATTTATTGACCTTTTCCTGTGTGTGTATGGTGACATGTGTGGTACTGCTTTGTGTTGAAATGTCTGATGACATAATCAGCTTTTGGGATTTGTCAGGGCAGGTGTGTATTAGCAGCAGTGTGCTCTGAAGGGATGCCCCTGTGAGTGTTTTTCCTGCTTAAAAAGTCACAAATTGTGTCTGTTTTGCAGGGTCAACTCTTAACGTGTAAAAATATTTGACATGGGAGATAGAACTGTCTGGAATGCTCACCTGACTACATTGCTCATATCTAATTGGGCCAGTTTGGTTTGGTTTGGGAGCAGAAGTGGTAGGTTGGATTATAACAGAAATCAGACTGCATCCAGAAAAAGCACTCACAGTGTAATTATCCATGGAAAGACCAAAGAAAACAGCCTGATGGGCTGTTGAGGATTTCATCAGAGAGGGTCTTTCCAGATCTCTGCAGACTGTACTTTTGGACTGGATAGTTCCTACTGTTGCACCAACATCCTTCAAAGACATTGAAATGTGTGTGGGTTTTTTTTAAGGTGAGCTAGATAAATCATGATACTTATTGGAAGGGGAAATTAATTTTACAAGCACATGGTGAAGGTTTTCTGGAAACACTAATGGTTTCTTTGTCATCAAAGAGTAATAAAGTCTCCTGTAAACAGAAAGCACACTCTTAAATATAAGATTTTTATCAGCTTTTCTAAATTAAAAATCAGTCACCACTGTTTCTCAGAATACCAATAAGTCAGGGCTGTCTCAGTTCTGTGATTTCAGTGAAGACTATCTGAGGCTTATCATAGTTTGTGCCAGTACTTAGAGCCAAAGAGGAAACTGGATGGCTGCAGCACAATGCAGCTGATTTCATTTAATCCCCTTGGTGGAAATGCTGCCTGTGCTATTTCCAAAGGCAGTTTTGGGAGCTCTCCATACCCAAAGCAGTCTGAAGAATGTCATTTGCACTCCCACTGGGTAAATTTTTCCTGCTGGTGCTTTGGTCACATGACTGTCATCTGCAGGAAGGATAAAAAAAATATACATAAAAGAAAAGGGATAGAATCCTGGTAGAAGCTGGGATATGTTTCTTTTTCTGGAAGTCACATTAAGAAGAAGGGTCATTTTGCTAAATGGAAGCAGTGCTGTACTGAGTTGCTGTGTATAATATTTCAGGTCTGTAACTGTGACTCTGTCATGGATCTCTCCAGAGAGTAACCAGAGATGAGGCCTGACACATTAAAGGCAGAGTGTGTAATGTGTCAGGACCAGGGCTGATACCAAATACCTGCCTGGCTGTCATCCTATAGGGAGATACTGGGGCAGCAAATGCAATAAAGAAAACATTCTTTTACTTGACTCTGCTGTAATGAGCAATATGACAGTATTAGGAAGTTGATACAGAGCAGAAGGGTTGTGTTTGAGCAGAGCAGGTGGCCAGCAGCAGCACTGTCCATAGACAAATTCTGGGATTAATGGGAGATAGGAGCTTGGAATGACCCAGGCAGAAACCAGGATGAAAAGGAACAAGTGTTTTCTAGGCTGAATCAAAATGTGTCTAAAACTTTGTAAATTTGGGAGTGCTGTCCCTCAGCTATTAAAGATCTGATACTAACATTGAGATGGCCTTCAAAGCCATCCCTTACTTGTGGAGTGAACACATAATTACCTTCCAGTCAGGAGCATGGTGAGGTACAGGAGGAAGGGAAGCCTGCACAGGACCAGCCTTAGGTGTTGTTCTGTTGTACACTTGATGGAATGTGCTGGAAGGAGTAGTGGTTGACACCAGGTTTGGTTCTGTGGTTATCCATCTGAATGCCAGCACCCATAAATCTGGGAAGAAATGTGGCACAAAGAAGGAGGAAAAAGTTATTTTTTGAATAAATGGCGTTTTTCCTCAACAGGGAGCTGAGGACAGTGGAAATGAGTGAGGCTCAAATCTGCCAAGATAGGTCCTGTACAAACACACTGTTTCTGAAAAACACCTCTGTAGAAAGCCCTGGAAACCTTGTGGGGGTGTCAAGGCCTTGAATGAAAATGAAACTCCCCTGTATCCAGTGTAATCTGAAAGCACACTTTCCATCCTGTCAATATGGAATAATGTTTCTGCCTTAAAACCATCTGCATTTTCAGCAGTGTTAGTTAGAGATTGTGTGTGAGTGCAGAGATCTGACTTTAATGGGATGTTATCTCTCTTGATCTCTTTTTGCCCTTAAGTGCCTTTGCCTGTAAATCTTTACTGAGGCATCAAGACCTGAAAACTGTATTGTTTCCTGCACAGCTCTAAAAATAATCCCTGCACAGGCAACTTCTAATGTAGTCAAAATGGAAAAGGATTAATCTTGGCATATGAGAGCACCATTAATTTTTATGATCTTTTTAATATTTAGAACTGTGCAAGTATTTTATATAATTTATTTTGGGATCTTTGAAAAGCTAAAACAATTGCAATGAATTTTCTTTCAACTGTTGAATTTTGAAATAAAGTTTATAACAGAATGTTGATGTGTTTCTTCTGCTACTCCTGTATTTTCATTGCCCCTCTGGCCTCTGCTGCACTCTCCTGTTTTCTCTTTGCACCTGGGCTGACCTTTTATCCCTGGTTTCCTGAGTGGACAGTAACAAGATAACTGAAACATGTAAGGTGTGAAATTTCTTCTTTCTTCTAGTGCAGGTTCAAGGTTTTCCCATCAGGAATGAGCAGTGTTCCTGACCAAACCCTGGTGAAACTGAAAGACCTGATGGGTTTTTGCTTTAAAAAACTGGTCTGGGAGCAGCTGAGGGAGAGCAGGAGACTACAGAATTCAACAGTTTACTGACAGTGTATCCTCCCACCTGGGTTATTGTTGCTGTGTGTGAAGCTCTGGAAGGAGCTGGGACATGTGCATTCTTTTCCAGGTCCACTGAAAAAGCCTTTAAGGACTCCCTATAGAAGCCTTCTGCTGGTTTATGGCAATAGAAGACCCTGCTGTGAAAACATGGGAATCCTGCAGTCATCCTCCTGTCAAGCAGAGTCCTTGGTGTAGGACTACAGCAGCTATGAGAGTACAAGATGAGACAGTCTTTGTTCCATGATTTTATTAATTAAATTTCACATTTTTTATTCTTTTCTCTCAGCTCTACTGGCATATTCTCTGGATTTCTTACAAGAAACTTCAGTTTTGAATCTTAAACACCAGAGGTAATCCATGAGGCATGAATGGAAAAATTTGGTATTATTTCTTGGAGCAGGCTGGTCTTGAATTCAGTTGAAAGCAATTAAACATTCACACTTAGTTATATTAAGCCATAATTTGTCTGCAGCTGAAGTTGGAATGCCCTTGACTCTTGCAAGCATTGCAGCATCTCTCTGTGGTAGGTTTGTCAGCTAATGAATTGCTTTCCTCATACAAACTTTTTAAAAGGAGAAAAAAAGTTTCATTCAATGGGCAAAGAGCAAAATTTCCATGTTAGACTCCAGGTTTTTAGGGAAGGATTTCCAGGCATGGTTGGTGGTCAGGTGCTGCATGAGTTGCTCTGATGTTTCCTTCTGTTTGCTGGAGTGCTGCTGTGCTGGAGGCAGCCCTGACATCCCTTCCCAGTGCCTGGCCTGGTTTTGGTGTGTGTTTGGCACTTTGGTTACCTGTGGTGTTCAGTGGCCACTCTGCTGTGCTCAAGGAAGAGCCCTGAGCAGTGAGGGTTGCTGTGTTCTCAGGAATTCTCTCTGCTCTGCTTCACTGATGAAGTTGCTCCCTGCTCCCCTTGCCCCTCCCTGCCTGGCTCTCCCAATTTCCCTTTTCAAACCTGAGCATCTGGACTTCCCCTGCTCTCCAGAACAGTGTTTGTGGTGTTCCCCTCACCAGAGCTGTGTCTGAACCCATGTCCCAGCCCAAGGTGTTGCTCAGGCTGTCCCAGCTCCCCTCTCTTGGGCAGGGTTTTGCCTCACAGACACACAGCACTGGATACCACATGAGCTCCTGTGGGGCTTCTATTGCTGGTAGTGTGAACTGAGGTGTCATAAAATCTTGATGCTCAAAAGGGTCTGGGAAGGAGCAGGAGGGACAGGAGGGACATCCTGTCCATTGCCATCAGCCAGACAATCCCACACCTGGATGTCATTCCTGTCCCCTCCTCAGCTGATCAGCTCTGCAGAGCAGAGCCTCTGCCTCAGCAATGTAACACAGCTTGAAAGTCTCTGCTGTGCTCTGACTTTAGGGATGGAATCCTGTAAAATCTGTCACTTGGTTACAGTGCTGCTGTAAAAAAAGGCTTGAATGGCCTCCAGGTACATGCATGGAAAATTAGAAGAGTTTTTAATAAATGGGATTGACCATGAGTGCCTGTAGTACAAGTTACAACGTTCTGCACAAACATTGCTTTGCATTGCCATTATTGAGCAATAATCCTTATTTGGAACTTACACAAATTGTGGCAGAACCTTCTATTTATCTAACCTGGAAATTTTTCCTGAACAGGCTCTCTATAATCTACTCAGAGAATTGGCAGTTTTCTTCCCTCTCTTGGTAGATATTTAATAGCCACGTATTGCATTTCCATGCTAGTAAACCTTCATTATTATACAAAATGTACCAGAATGTTATGAAGAAATACCTTAAATAATTAAATAGAAACGAAGAGTGACAAAACAAATGAACAAAGTGCAATTTGAGCTGTGTTATTCTTTCCTTTTTATGTTCACTTATTTGCTAATTTGCTGAACTTACTGGACTGCAGTGGGTCTTGCTGTGATTAGAGAGAGTTTGCCAAGTTCCTTTGTAATTGTTTCTTTGCAATTAACTAAATAATAGAATGTTCTCTGTGTGGCTCTCTGGGGAAAAAAGCAGGCAGGTGCTTTTGCAATAGGATTTCCACATCTTCCACCCATTTCCCTAGAACTCAGTTAAAAAAGACCAGTAAAACATGAGAAAGAGAGAGAATATTGCTTCAGGACTGGAAATGAAAGAATTAACCTATTATTATTTCTTTCAGTTGGCCGAAAGCTTTTTTTTTGCTGGCCCTGGTAGTGGCTATTCTTTGTGTAAACCTGAAAGTCCCTGGCAGGACGTCAGAGGAAAGTCATGAAAACCCAAATGTATGTTCCTGCCTGCAGATGCCTCCACTTGGGGGAAGTCCTTCAAGCTGGGAGGAGAAGGCAGCTGGGAAGGTCCCTGGCTTTGCTGGGACAGCAAGGCTGGAGACAGAGCTGTCATGGAGGGGGCAGCGATGCCTGGGGGAGGCTGCAGAGCAGCCCTGGCTTTGTTATTTCCTTTGACTTTGAGCAGAAAATTACAGAGGAAGGCCTGGGAGGAGAGGAAGGGTAGTTTTAATGGAGGCACAGTTCAGCTCAGCGGGAAGGAGGCACGGCTGGCTGCAAGGGCAGAGTTTATGGAGCGGCGGAGTCAGAGGCGCGGCCCGGCAGGGGCAGCTGAGTGCCGAGGCACGGTCCTCTCCCTGACCTCCCCATGACCATCTGTAATTTAGTCCCTGTCTCAAGAGGGTAACTCATCCATCTGCTGGCACTTGGAGTGCAAACTTGTCCTTTTTTTTTTTTTTTTTTTTAATCTGTATTGTTAGCTAAAACCTTTTGTAGCAATATTAGGTTTGACAGAAAGGGGAAGACTCCTTGCTCCACATTATATTAAAAGCTGAATTATTTAATTTCATAGTGAATCAGAAAAGCCAGGGGTAGGAGATTGCTGTTTTAAAAGGTGCTCTCATTGTCAGTACCATTTCAGCAGTAGGGATGTCTGGAATCAGAAGCTTGTGAAGAGTGAAAAATGCTACGTTTCTTGGAGGGCTTCTGTAGACTGCCTGGTGGTCTCAAAAGGATGGAGGACAGCACTGGCTGCCTTATTTTGGAGGTTTAAACTAGTCTTGTTTTGTTGCTTCTTTAATGTGGAACACTTCTCATCTGCCTATTTTGTCCATTGATTTTTTAGCAAAGCCACTGTCAGAGCAAGTTAGAAACACTAATACTGCTCTTTGGGTTACTTTTCAGCAGGATTACCAGTGAACAAACTGACATTTGCAGTTTGCTTTGCTTGACTGTAGAACTGCTTTCCATGCAAGGGTGATTTACTGTTAGATTTTATTCCTGGGATGTCACGACAGTGTCTCGTTTGTTCATTTGGCTTTGGCAAAAGAGAGTGTACTTATTTGTGTGGGAAGGAAAAAAAGGCTGCTCTAATGTAAACATGAGAGCCTTGATAACTGTCTTGTCCTATACTCAAGAGTTACCTGAACAGGATCAAATGAGAGATGCTAGACATCCAATAATTGCAGATATTTCTTTGTGATGTGGCACAACAGGCTGGAATGCCATGGAAAGTCTGGCTAGTGCTGGATCCTGTGGTTTGTCTCTTATTCCTCGTTTGCTGAATCCATTCTGCTCTTCATTTTCCCATATCATTATAAATAATTGTGGGGGAGAAATGAAAACTGTTGATGCCTCTGTTTCTCTGTAATCCCCAGTGCTCATTCTGCTCTAATGTAATCCAGTTGTCTCGGCAGCAGGAGGCTGAGGGGAGGCATGCACACCAGCACTGCTCCCTTTCCCACTCACCCCCAGCCCCACAGAGTGCCTCAAACACCCACCCCCATGGAACAGCATCCAGCTTTTCCTGTCATTGATTCCAAAACCTTCTGTGCAGTTTGATTTACATCAGCCCTGTCAAACGAGATCTCAGTGTGGTGTCCTGGCTGCAGCTTCTCTCCCCTGTCCATCACACGCTGACAGAGGTGCTTGGACCTGCAGCCTGGTGGGGCTTTTGTGTCCATCCAGAGGCCCGTGGCTCTGGTTACAGCTGCAGGACAGATTCCAGCCTTGAGTGTTTTATTGTGAAATTGCATAAACTCTGTGAGAAGGGGCTTAGGCAGAGATCTCTTGCTCCCAGCAAGGTCTCTCTGCTCCTTGTCTTTGGGTTGTTAGAAGTGGAGGTGAAATATGTTGGCCCTTGAAAGAATTCCTTCTTCCTTCCATCCATCCATCCTTGCCAGCACTGTGAAAAAAAATGAAAATAATAAGGAAAAAAATAAAATTGGCTGATGTTCAGGTGTCCTGCAGCAGAAAAATAAACCCTCTTCTTCGAGAAAGCTGGAGGGAGTTAAGGTCTTCTATCTTGTACCCTTGTATATCTTGTACTTGTGCACACAGCACGTGGCTCTAAACCCTCTGACATGTGTCTTAATGCTATTTGTGAGTGATAAGATTTCTTTTCAGCTGTGTTGATAATACTCATATGAAAATCCCATCCTAGTCAAAAGCTATTGAAGTTTTCAGAACATCAGCAGAAATATGTTTATTTGCTCTAAGGGGTTAACACGTGGCCCTGTGCCCAGCACCACAGAGTCATCGTGTTGGAAAAAACCTCCAAGATCACCAAGTCAAACCATCAACCCACCAGCAGGACCACACTCACTACTAAACCATGCCCGCAAGTGCCATATCTTCCCATTTTTTGAGGTATTCTGAGAGATTCCAAGACTTTGTTCAAGTTATCATTTTATTATTTTTCCCCTCGTGCTGTCACCCAGTGAGAGGTGTTTCCTTAACGTTCACCTGTGCTCCTGTCGCTGTCATTGCCATGTGCGTGCCCAGCCAAGGAGTGCTGGATAACCTTCTGCCTCCAGGAACTGTGAATTCAGGAAGGGCAAACTTGCTACCTCTGGCTCTTGGGATGGGCGTTGAGACGGACTCGAGAGGAACTAACAATAAATGACTTTACGCCTACCTTTACCACTTGCTGCGGCACAAACTGCTTTTACTCCGCTGGCTTTTAGGCTAAATCCAACCCGCACCTCCCGCTGTTAGAACCGCGGGGCCGTGTGACACTCACGGCACCGGGACATTTGTCGGGAAGCAAACGCGGCGCTGGGGGCTCGGGGCCCGGCAGCGACCCCCGGTCCCGGGGGAGCGGCGGGGGCCGGGCCGGGGCGGGGCGGCGGCGGCGGCGCCAATGGGAGCGGGCGGGCGGCGCCGGGCGCGGGCGGCGGAGCCTCTGGGCGAACAAAGAGGGAGCGGGAGCGGGCGGAGGGACGGCAGCGGGCGGGGGGGACAGCCGGCCATGCGGGGCCGGCGGCCGCGGTGCGGGTGAGGCGGGCGGCGCTCCATGGCCGGCGGCTCGGGGTGAGGCAGGCGCGGGCATGGCGGGCGTGAGCTACTCGCCGCCCTGGTGGGTGAGTCTGCTGCACCGCCTGCCGCACCTCAGCCTGCGCTGGGAGCTCACCGCCGCCGACTTCCGACCGCACGACGCCGAGTACCAGCAGGTGAGTCTGCCCGGGGCCGTGCGGGGCGCGGGGTGCGCGCCCCCGGCCGTGAGGGGCGGCGGGAGCGGGGGCTCGGCCCGCCCGGAGGCGGAGGAGGAGGAGGAGGAGAAGGGGGCGTGCGGCCCCCGCTGGGGCTGCCCGGGTGGGTGGCCGAGGGCGCTGTGTCCCCCCTGCTCCCGGAGCAGGTGCCCCCGCAGGGCCGGGCGGACAGGGCTGGGGCGGGAGGTCACCACCCCGAGCTGCCCCCAGCCTGCCCGGAGCCCGAGTTCTTCTTGGCAGAAGCTGAAATTATAGATTGATAAAATCACTGAGGTTGGAAAAGCCCTCCAGGATCAGCGAGCTCAACCTTGGACCCAATGCTACCGTGTGCCCGCTGACCCGCATCGCGAAGCGACCCCTGGAGCGGGGCAGGAGCCAGGGGTGTCCCGGCCGCTCCCAGCGCTGCCCGGCCGAGGGCACCGTCCCGGCCTGGAGCCCCTGGGCTGCCCGCAGCCACCGTGGGCTGTGCCAGTCCTGTGCAGGTTCTGCTGACCATCCATCCCCTCTGATTGTGCCAGTCCTGTGCAGGCTCTGCTGGCCATCCATCCCCTCTGATTGTGCCAGTCCTGTGCAGGCTCTGCTGGCCACCCATCCCCTCTGATTGTGCCAGTCCTGTGCAGCCTGCACTGACCATCCATCCCCTCTGATTGTGCCAGTCCTGTGCAGCCTGCACTGACCATCCATCCCCTCTGATTGTGCCAGTCCTGTGCAGCCTGCACTGACCATCCATCCCCTCTGATTGTGCCAGTCCTGTGCAGGCTCCTGACCATCCCCTTTGATGCCGCCAGCCCCGCAGCGAGGCCAGCAGTGCCTTTCCAAACCGGCTGCCTGCCTGCTGGAAAACAGATGACTTAATGCACGAGAGTGGCGTTAGCATCAAGTGCACGGGAGGATGCTCGCAGAATACTTGTGTGCAGCTTTTTTTTTTTTTTTTTTTTTTTAATGCTGCTTAGCCTGTATCCTGTGCTTGGTTGGCTGGGCATGTAATTAAAATGATTGTGGAGTGAATCTGTGTGCTCCAACATCTGTGTTCTCTGCTGTCATCTTGGAACAGAGCTGCAGTGACTCTGCTGCCTCGTTTTGCCACGGTCTCTGGTTTTGAAAACACCATTTTGCTTTTCTGAACATACTTGCAGTGTCCTATATACACAGCCTGCTATCATGCACACAGGCATCAAGGCTAAAGCATCTAAGCAGGTCTTGTTTATAGTAGAAGTAGAAGGTATTAGAAATACTTTAGGAAGCAGTATGTTTTGGCTTTTTGTTCTAAACAGATGAACAGATCTGAGGACTGAAGCTAGAGCAAAATGTGAGAGATATATTTAAAGAGCCATGGGTAGGTACAAAGAAACATTGTTATACCAGCAAATCAAAGGGACTTTTGAGCTAACTTTGTATTTTGAGGCTTCAATTTGTTAATTTGTTTTAGTTCCCTTGGCTTAGCAGAGTTCAAGATGGCCACATGCAGATGTAACGCTGCACAGCAGCTGAACTGTATTTCCATGACCTCAGAGGGTAGCTGCCTTTAAAACAAGGGATATGCAATCCTGGAGATCAGAAGTTAAGAGTTCATTGAAAGATCTTCTTGGGAGTGTGTTATCATGAAATAAGCACTCAGTGACCTTTTGAATAGACAGCAGATGTACCAGTTTTCACTTGAATTGCTTAAAAGCATTCCTAGCAATAATCTGGGGTTGTGTTTGTTTGTCAGATAATTTTTCAGCAGTAATCATATTCCCACTTAAAGCCTTCTGCTGCTCTCCTCCTGTGTAGCTGCCTCCCCTCCCTTGATGACATTAAGGACTTCTTGCACAGCAGTCGATGGCCTTTTAAGTCTTAACACAGCTCTCAAGAAAACATTTTATCAAATCCAAACTCCAATGTCTGCATTACTGAGGCGTCTGTCATCAAGAGAATGGTTTGAGCAGCAGCAGCTTTGCTGGTTTTGGTGTTGCTGAGGGGTAGCAAGCAGGCTCCAGCAGCACTGCAGCCTGTGCTATCAGTGCTGTGGTTATATAACCACGCTGCTGTGGCTCTGCAAGTTGGCTCTGGAGTTCGTAGGCACATAGATTAATTCTAATGCAGTGAACCAGGGAAACTTAATCCAGCACTGGGAACTGTAATGATAAATGCTCTCTTGTGCTTTAAATGCTTCTGAAGGCCTTTTGGTTTGAATTCTAGATTTTTTAATGGATTTGCACCCCTTGCTCTGTGTGCAGCCTGTGCTGGCATTGTCTTCCCTTATCTTTAGGAACCTTTTGTATTTAACAGGTGAGATCGTATACATCCTCAAAATTAGGAAGTCCATTTTTTAATTTTAACTTTGGCTTATTTTTCTTTACTTTGTAGGTCTCACTGCTGCAAATTGTGTATGTTTTTGTTTTCTAGTCCATTAGTGATTGATACTCTGATTTTTAAGTATGAACTATTAAACTACACACTGCATTTGATTTCCTCAGGGGGTGAGGAGAGGTCAGTGGGGGGGATGCTAGAGGAAGTTTGTGGGCACAGGTAAGGGCAGAGTGTCCCTACCTGTGAGGAAGGATTGCCTTTGCTAAACTACATGGCTCCAATTCATCTGGGAGCTGGACTGTTGTCATAAATAGCCATACAGCTGGGCTCAGTGTCCAGTCCCATTCTGACGTGTTTTGAGGAAGGAAGCAATGTACCCTTTCTGATTCCTCACTGCTTCCCTAGAAAAGATTTCCCAACCCGTGACCACAGGAAAGCAGCACTTTCCTTATAAAACTCTTTTCTTCAGCCACCTTTTAGTAAATACCCACCTGTTTGTTGTACTCCTGTTTTGATGATGGGCTTTGGAATTGTGCATCAGCTGAACATCCCACTGCAGCCAGCAGTGGCATGCAGTGGCTTGGCTTTGCATGTTGTCCTGTCACTTGTTGCAGTGCCACGTGCTGCTGCAGGTGAGGAGGCTGCTGCCTGGAGAGGCTTTGCACCTCTGCCCAGCAGGATTAGTGTAATGCCAAGCTGCTCTTCCCCTGGAGCAGCAGCCCAGCCATTGTGCCCTGAAACCTCTCTGAAGGAGGGCAGATAAGCACATGCTGCCACTCTTTGAAGTCCAGGTCTTTGTTAAGTCTTCTGGGACCCTGGGTGATGGGGGATGTCTAGCAGGATGTGGATGCAATGGCTGCTCCTGCTGTTCTGTCCCCAGGAGTCCCTTGGCCAGGGCAGCAGGGACGCCTGCTGTGTGCTGGGCTGCCTCAAGGCTGCAGCCATTGTGTACCAACCTACTGGGGCTTCCTCCTTTTGTCTGAGAGCATGAGAAATGCTCATGGCAGTGCTGCTGCCAAGGGCTGAGATCAGTGCAGCTGCAGGTTTTGGCTGCACACCTTCTTCACCTGAGTCAGGCTCTAAAACGCTCTCTCTCTCTCAGTATTATTTTGCTCTTTATCTTCTTCCACAGCATATCTTGTTGCATTAGGTTAGAGCAGTGTGTGTGAGTGTGGAGGAGCAGAACAGATCCTTCCCCTCTGGACTAGACTGTTTAAAAATGTATGTGTATCCTGATGTCCTTCAGATGCTCTGCTTCTGCCACAACAAGCAGTACAACCAGCTGTTTTCTTTTTCTGGAGGAATTGAGGTGAATCTCCATGTAGAATGAGCTGGGGTTGTGGTCCTTCTTCTGCAGGAGTTTGGCATGCTGGTGAGTCCTATCAGAGCTGCCTTCAGGTGCCACTTGCAGGACCTGCTCCATGGTCCTCCCTACAGAGGATCTTATCAGACCAGTTCTTTTCCTAATCCTCCCATGAATCATTGGGGTTGAAAATATCTTGATATGAACAGCTTTGTTCTGGCTGTATTCTCATCTGAGTCATACTGCAGTGCTCTGCAAAGCCTTTTCATTGTGTAGTGAGTCACAAATTCTAGAGTGAAGGGAATGTAAAAATGGAGCAGAGCTCCTGTTCCTTCTGACAGCATCATGCTAACACCAGTTCAGGTCTCCCTGCCTTCTGCTGCTGATCAAATCATGATGGTCTTGCCAGTGCTGTCCACTTACTTTCCAGTTCAGTTGATTGGCACAGTGAGATGGTCCTGAGACTGCTGCTGTCACTAGTTTAATTTATTTAGCAGTGTAAGTGACTGACTTAGCTGTGTGGCATTGAATTCACTTTCTTTCTCAGGGTAGAGTTGCTTAAGAGCCTTGAAGTAGCGTGGAGGTCATGTGCTGGAAAGAAATAGAAAAGCTGAATAGCTTTGTAATACAGCACAACAACAGGTAATGGGATATCTGCTCCAGTCAGGGTGTCTGTACACTGACAGAAAAGGAGACTATGGCACTTTATCTCTGGAGTCTGACTGTGGGCTCAGAAGTGCCCTGTGAATAGTGATGGAGAAAAGAGGCTGTAAAAGCCAAACCACGGAGCCCTTTGGAGTTTCTGCTTTTTCTTCATTGCTGGAATCTGACGATGTTGACACAAACCTGTGTAAACGCAAAGGTTATGTGTGAGTCAGGCTAGAATAAAGAAAAATTCTCCAGCATCTTTGAAACTCATCCCTTGCACCACTTCGTGCCTTCTCAGTACAGTCAGAGCTGCAGATGCATGGTTAGTAGGTGTAATGGCAGCTGTTTGTGCTTTGGAAGATGACTGATGATTGATTCACACCAATTAAGATGCAGAGTCGTGCTGAAGGAAGCAGTGACAAGAGCAGGGACATGCTCTAGTCCTTGGCTTTGAGATGCTCTCTTCAGTGTTGTTGCCCAGGAGTTTCCTATCATGCATCTGTCAGTGCTTTCATGTCATAATGTTCTTTTTCTCCCTCTGTACGTGTGCTGAGAAGGGATCCAGCAGGGAAAGGTGCTGTGTAAGCCCAACAGAGTCTCTAATCCAAGGCATGTGTGTTTGAACCCATAGCCAAAGGTTCAGCAAGGAATTAATTCTGTCAGGTACTTTCTGGCTCTGTGAGGCTGTTTCCCCACACATAACAGCTAACGTTGTCTT